GAGCAGGGAGCCCGATGCGGGGCTCTATCCTAGGACCCTGGGATCATGACCCGAGCCAAAGGCAGACACTTAATGACTGAGCCACCCAGGGCCCCCCAAAAGTGTTTTTAACTCGATGAGGGTATCTTCAGAAACCTGTAGTAAGCATAAGACTTAAGAGTGAAACTGTAAAAGCATTCCAAGACAGGGATGCCTTCTGACATCATTCATATTGGCCATTATGCTGGAGATCCCGTTCATTTCTAAATAAGTAAATAAAAAGAATACATTCAGAAGAGACAGGATTGTCATCATTTGCAAATAATATGATTACCTACATCAGGGATGGGCAGCCTTTTTCTATAAAGGGCCAGGTAGCAAGTATTTTAGGCTCTGTAGGCCATAGGATCTCTGTTGCCACTACTCAGTTCTGCTATTCTAGCATGAAAGCAGCTATAGATAGCAGGTAAACAAGTGGGTGTGGCTGTGTTCCAGGAAAACTTTATTTACAAAAATAGGCAGCTGGCCTGACGTTCATAGTTTGCCGACCCCCAGCTCACGTAAAAGTGAACTAATAAGAGAGGTAATTTAAATAGTTAGATTCAAGTTCAAGTGCTAGCTGTAACCAATTTAAAAATGTAATTAGGGGGGCGCCTGGGTGGCTCAGTCGGTTAAGCATCTGCCTTCGGCTCGGGTTGTGATCCCAGGGTCCTGGGATCGAGCCCTGCGTCGGGCTCTCTGCTCCGCAGGAGCCTGCTTCTCCCTCTCCCTGCTGCTCCCCCTGCTTGTACTCTCTCTCGCAAATAAATAAATCAAATTAAAAAAAAAAGAAAGAAAGAAAACCTCCCTTTAAAAAAAAAAATGTAATTAGGAGAAAAGATTCCTTTTGCAACAAAAAGTTCTGCCCCTCCCAGAATAAAAGAGCTCCCACTCAAGAGTAAATGTAGTAAGTATGTTAAGGGTTTTATAAAGAAAGCTTTTGGACTTTACTAAAGGGTATTAAAGATCTGGATAAAAGAAAAGATACATTATGTACCATTTTGAAGAGAAAGATTTGGTATTGTTAAAAATATGATTCCCAGTATATAATCTATAAATTCATTGTAATCTCAGTCAAAATCTTAATAGGGTTTAATGTGGAAGGATAAAATACATAATTGTTTTAAAGAATAGTAAGGCTAGATTTCCCCTATCAGTTATTAATGTATATTTTAAAACTCCAATAGAAGCAGAAGTAGAAGACTATATCATTGAAACAATATATTCTTGGTTATAAAGAAATTAATTACACAGTATATGATAAATGAGGGGATAGTAAGATACGAGTTTTAGTATTCCATAAACATCCCCATCCCAACCACTACTACCCTCTTTTAAATTTCTATTCACAAATATACTTTAGATTCATTTCTACCCTCTTGTGAATTCTTTTCTCTTAAGACTGTTGTTTTAATCCCTTTAATTCAGGAGGGGCAAATGACTAGAGGTTCCAGGCAGGTCACATAGATGAGTGAGGTGGGTTGAATTGAAGAAGAACCCATCTAAAAGGAGCAGCAGGGCGCCTGGGTGGCTCAGTCGTTACGCATCTGCCTTCAGCTCAGGTCATGATCCCAGAGTCCTGGGATCAAGCCCCACATCGAGCCCCACATCAAGCCCCACATCGGGCTCCCTGCTCCACGGGAAGTCTCCTTCTCCCTCTCCCACTCCCCCTGCTTGTGTTCCCTCTCTCGCTGTGTCTCTCTCTGTCAAATAAATAAAATCTTTAAAAAAAATAAAATTCTCTATTGAGCTGAAAAGTGAATTTAGACTAGTTGTTATCATTAGAGCTTAATATGTTCTTTTGATTCTTAAGGGTGTAGAGAAAATTGCATGCATGTCTGACCTTTGTTGGGAAAAGATGTCATGACAGATTTGGGGGAAACAATGAGCTTGGTACTCTGAAGTAAACCCACCGTAAGAACGGATTCTGTCATAAAACCACTTGGGAGTTTGGATTTGGGCAGTTTTTTCTCTCTCTCTCTGTCTCTCTTTTTAAGATCTATTCATTTTGAGAGAGAGAAAGTGCGCATGCGTGTGCACGAGTAGGGGACAGGGAAGGGGGGTGTAGAGAGAGAGAGAGAGAGAGAGAATATCGCAAACAGACCCCGTGCTGAGCATGGAGCCTGACTCGGGGCTTGATTTCATGACCCTGAGATCATGACCTGAGCCAAAACCAAGAGTCTGACGCTTAACTGACTGAGCCATCCTGGTGCCCCAGTTTTCTAACTAAACTGACAGCTGCATTTCTTCTCTCATTACATGCATTCTCTTGGAGATTTATCTACTCATGGATTAAACTCTT